CTGCGCTGTTCGGACTCGCCACGCCCGTCCTGTTCGCGCCGCTCTCGAGTGGCGGGTTTTGTACTTGGGGGTGTTCGGCCGCTGTCATCCCCGGCTCCGCCTGCACCGTGTCACTGCTGCCGCACGCCAAGGGCTGCTCGCTCCCTTCATAACGGCCTTTTCTGCGGATTTACCTTTCTTTTCCATTCCGATTGGATATAAGGAAGAAGTTTTTTACAAAGAGATGGTGCGGTTCTGGATCAGGTTGTCCAGAGAGATGGTAGATGTCTTGTCCTTGGAAGCATTCAAGGCTGGGCTGAACCAGGCTCTGAGCAACCTGACCTAGCTGTAGGTGTCCCTGTTCATAGCAGGGGAGTTGGACTAAATAGCCTTTAAAAGCCCATTCCAACTTAAAAGTTTTTTATGATTCTATGATATCTTAAGGTCATTTACAATAAATCCAGCTTCTGAATTTCTCATATTCTAGAGAAAATAGTTCAAAATAAAAATAAAAATAGAAGAGTGCCAGATCTAGATTTTTTTGTAACTGATATAGGAATCCCATCTAATTGAAAGCAGAGGAAAGGAGATAGAAAAAGACCTTGGGAATACATCTGACAGTATCTGATAGACAACACATACCTGTAGCCCTTTTAGTTTATTTTGTATTTAAGTGTATATGTTTAAGTACATGTAATTAACTAGCAATTTTTTTATTTCTGTTATTGATAAGCTGTATGTCTCATAGCATATTTTGAGATGAAACCTGTGTGTTTGATTTGGTCTGTCATGTTTCCTGTTTAATTGTGTTTATATATTCAGTATATTTACAGCATTTATTTACTGAATGCTTTCCCACAGTATTGAGTTGAAGACAAGCATAAGTACTGTTAACAAAATGGTTCTCTTTGGGACCAGACACCATAAACAATTGAGAAAATCATTAAATCACAGAATCACCCGGGTTGGAAGGGACCTCAAGGATCATGTAGTTCCAACCCCCCTGCCTAGCAGGGCCACCAAACATACACATTCAGATCAGGTTGCCCAGGACCCCGTCCAACCTGGCCTTGAACACGTCCAAGGACGGGGCATCCACAACCTCCCTGGGCAGCCCGTTCCAGGGCCTAACCACTCTCCTTGTAAAGAACTTCCCCCTAACATCCAACCTAAATCTTCCCTCCTTCAACTTGGATCCATTTCCCCTAGTCCTGCTATTGTCAGCCCTTTCAAAGAGTTTACTCCCCTCGTGGGTGTAGGTTCCCTTCAGGTATTGATAGGCTGCAATGAGGTCACCCCGCAGCCTTCTCTTCTCCAGGCTGAACAAGCCCAACTCCCTCAGCCTGTCCTCATAGGGGAGGTGCTCCAGCCCCCGATCATCTTAGTCGCCCTCCTCTGGACCCTTTCCAAAATCTCTATGTCTTTCTTGTACTGAGGGCTCCACACCTGGACACAGTACTCCAGATGGGGCCTCACAAGAGCCGAGTAGAGAGGGACAATCACCTCCCTGTCCCTGCTGACCACCCCTCTCCTGATGGAGCCCAGGATCCCATTTGCCTTTCGAGCTGCCAGAGCGCATTGCTGGCTCATGTTAAGTCTCTCGTCCATCAGGACCCCCAGGTCCTTCTCTGCAGGGCTGCTCTCAAGGACCACTCCTCCCAGCCTGTATGGGTGCCTGGGGTTCTTCCGGCCCAAATGCAAAACCTTGCACTTTGCTGTGTTGAACCTCATTAGGTTCACCCGAGCCCAGCCTTCCAGCCTGTTGAGGTCCCTCTGAATGGCATCCCTTCCTTCCACCGTATCAACTGCACCACTCAGCTTGGTGTCGTCAGCAAACTTGCTGAGGGTGCACTCAATTCCGTCATCGATGTCATTAATAAAGATGTTAAAGAGCTCCGGTCCCAAGACAGACTCTTGGGGGACACCACTTGTTACCGGCCTCCACGTGGACATAGAGCCATTGACCACCACCCTCTGTCTGCGGCCTTTCAACCAATTGCTTATCCATCGGGTCGTCCACCTATCAAATCCACTTCCCTCCAATTTGGAGATGAGGATGTGGTGGGGGACCATGTCAAAGGCCTTGCTCAGGTCCAGGTAAATGACATCGGTCGCCTTCCCTTCGTCCACCAATGCCGTCACTCCATCATAGAAGGCCACAAGATTAGTTAGGCATGACCTTCCTTTGGTGAAGCCGTGCTGGCTGTCTCGGATCACATGCTCATTCTTTATGTGATCGAGCATGTTGTCCAGGAGGATCTGTTCCATGATCTTCCCAGGCACGGAGGTGAGACTCACTGGCCTGTAGTTCCCCGGGTCCTCCCTGCGCCCCTTCTTGTATATGGGAGTGGCGTGACCCTTCCTCCAGTCATCCGGGACCTCACCTGACAGCCACGACTTCTCAAATATGATGGAGAGCGGCTCGGCAACCACCTCAGCCAGCTCCTTCAGGTTCTTTCAGGTTAAATCATTGTACTATAACTAGAATGAGCACTTGTGATAAATTGCTTATGCTAGACAAAAAGAAATTTGCAAAAAAATGTTGTGATGCTGCAAAATGGGCTGAGATTTCAGATTTCTGGGAAGAGGCTGTTCTTACCAGTCACAGATGCCCCGTTTTGCATCCTGGTATAGTACTTGCATGTATCTGGTATAGGAGATAGGCTTGTTTGATTTTCTTACCTTGGTTCTCTGTTAATACCTACTCATCTCTTGTGGAATGGCCCCAGAATGCTAGTGCCTGTGGTATTATTTTTTGCTTACAACACTTTCAGCAGTCATTTTGTTAGAAATCTTTTTCAGTTATTCAAGAGCATTCATCTAATATGGGATCACCAAACAGGTTCACTAGTTTACTCAAACTTGTAAGTTCAGCTTCTGGCTGTAAATCAGTTCTTAAAGTTTTCATTATAGCCTCGTGATTTTAGAAAGTTTGCAGCTGGATGTTTGACTTCATGTAACAAGAACTACTGTGAAAGCATGTCGGCTATTTTTAATGCTTACTAAATAGTAAGGTTTGAGAGAATTCTGAGGAGGTGTTTTGGACCTGTGCAAACTGAGAACATAATAATGAAATAGCATGAGCTCTGCTAACATTGCCTTGAATGTGCTTAAGTCAAATATACACTGAACTACTGTTACGGTTTTATGCTTTTTGTTACTGGTATTCCAGTAACAAAACTGGAAAAACATCATGACATCACGTAGTGGAATGGGAAGGGAAGAGTTAATACTTCAGTTGTGTGAACTGTCAATATGTCTGGCTATCTGGTTCTCAGAAGAGAAGAACAACTACATCTCCGAGAAGACTTTCAATGTTCCATTTCCATTTTCCACTGAGAAAGATAAAACTGCTCATAAGACTGTCCCTTCTCTTACTGCTCATCTTAGCAGTATGTGCTCCCTAGCTGTCTTGCCTTCAGCATTAGAGTAAGGCCTTTGGTTTTGGAAACTCTCTCTCATTTTCTTGGTTTATTAGTTTCAATCCTGATGAACTTGTATTTCTGCTATTATAATGTGAAAATTAACTTTCCTCCTCAGATCATTGTCACTGTTTCTTTTTTCCCTCATTTATTATTACTGCTTTCCCTTTTTGTTTCTCCTCCCCCCATGCTCCCCTCCACTCCTTTTTTTCAGGCCAGTGGGCCTGTAGGTCTGCTATTCCCCTGTCACAGATGCAGGTGTCATGGAGTTATCTCTAGATCTAACTACCTGGCAAGCCAACAGCTTTGCTTTCCCACCCCCACCTCCCCTCAACCCCCTCCCCCCCCCATGGAAAGTATTCAGTCAAGTAATAGGTGACATTCATTTTAGGATATATACTTATTACTGTTAGAAACTAAATGAGTTTATTAATAGATTAATGGTCTTCATTTTCTTATCTGGCATGGAATAGCATGATATTTAAGTTGTGATTATGAAAAGTTAGCTGTATAAAACTGTATTTGCAGGGCTGCTGCTGCTAAGGTTTGTTTTCTGGTTTGTAGCTTTGTGTCTGTAAGTTATAAAATAAATATCCACTGATTTCCATTGCTTCTGTGAGTGTCTGAATTTGTCTCCAAATAGTCAACAGTTCATTTCTGAGAGCAGCCATCACGTGTGTATTAAATGAAAATTGTTCTTACAATCTTGATATTGGGGCCAATGATTGAATATCTGCAAGAGTTCAGTTACTCTTCTGGCATATGTATTGTTTCTTCTTAAAGATGTATAAAGGCTGGTGTAGCATGTGCTGCTCTATCTTCTCTTTTGCTGAGGAAAAGTATTGTTAAGTAGAAAAAAAAAAAAAATACTTGTGTCTTTTACTGGGGAAATTTAGTTAGATTTTAATATTTTGGTTTAACAGTAATTCCCTTTGTTCCATGATCCAGTTTTTGCATTGAACTGTGCAACTAGATATGGATTATAGCTTTTGTTCAAAGGTTGGATGTGGTTGTTTTTCACTCTTCTTTGTATAACAATAAAAAAGAAAATCAGATTGAAAGTACTGAATTTATTGATTTCTTTTAAGGAGAATGCGCTTTTTGCACTTTTATGAACAGATGCAGAACTTAAAACAAGCAAAGCCTCACTACCACCACGCCCGGTGGTACCACCTTGGCCCTTTTGTTTTGATTAAATTTTTTTTAGTATTTTCATTTGTCTTGAAATTGACATCCTTAATTTTTCTCTCATGAAAAGCGTTCAGAATAAATATCTACTCACTTTATTATAGTATTGTTTGAGTGAAATATTGGTAAAGATAAATTCAGATATTAAAAGCTTGAGACACAGATGGTATATTCTAAGATAATTTACTGATCACTGTGCCAGTGTTGCTACTTTGTCTCAATGGGGTGATTATTTTACCCTACTCCTGTTAGAAAGAAAATCAGCACCCTTAAGAGATACTGCGATTCCGTTCCATTTGAACACGATGTTAGCAGAAATCCTTCTTCCCATTCATGGTCTCAAGCCAGTGTTCAATTATGCCTGATTTGGAGTTGTAATTTTTTTTCTTTATTCTTTTTTTTTTTTTTAAGCATCGTGAAATGGCCCAGGACACTACAGTGCCTAAATTGAATTTCAAATTTTGGTTGGATAAAGCTATTGAGTGGGGTCAGGCCAACACTTTGGAATCCCAGAAAGATGTCTGTCTTCATTTGCCCCAGTTGCAGGAGTTTCTGCTTCAGACTTATGAAACTCTCAAACAAATGGTAAGTGACTTTAAAAGGAAGAATGACCTCTTTTGTAGGCAGCCCAAGAAAAAATCTGCCATGTTTGGACAAAAAAGGAATCAAAGAGGCTTCTGTTTCTGGCCTGAGGTATCACTGGATCAGACAAACAAACCGGGGAAACAGTCCCAGGTAACATAAATAGGAATGCACTTACGGTTCCCCTGACTTATTGGAAGGGGACCTTTCTCTTCTTCACAGAATTGTAGGTGTTGGAAGGGACCTTTAGAGATTGTCTAGTCCAATCCCCATGCCAAAGCAGTCTCCTAGACCAGGTTGCACAGAACGGTGTCCAGGTGGAGAAAGAGACTCCACAACCTCTCTGGGCAGTCTGTTCCAGTATTCTGTCACCCTTACCACGAGGAAGCTCTTACACATGCTTGTGCAGAACTTCCTGTGCTTCAGTTTGTGGCTGTTTCCCTAACCCATCGCCACAGCTGAAAAGAGCCTGGCCTTGTACCTTTGCCTCCTCCACCTTATAGACATTGATCAGATCCTCTCTCAGTCTGCATTTCTCAAGCATAAACAGACCCAGGTCATTCCGCCTTTCTTTATAAGAGAGGTGCTCCAGGCACTTTTTCATCTTTGTGGCCCTCTGCTGGACTTTTTCCAGGAGATCCCTGTCTTTATTGAACTGGAAAGCCTAGAACTCACTCCAGGTGAGGTCTGACCAGGGCAGAATTGAGGGGAAGGACTTGAACTGCTGGACATGCTCTTTTTAATGAATCCCAGGATGCCATTGGCCTTCTTGGCCACCACGCCACACTGCTGCTCATGGCTAACCTGTTGTCCACCAAGACCCCCAGGTCCTTCTCTGCACAGAGCTCCTCTCCAGCAGGTCATGCCCCAACCTGTACTGGTGCATGCAGTTATTCCTCTGTAAGTGCAAGACTCTACCCTTGCTTTTGTTGCTGCCCAGCTCTCCAGCCTACCCAGGTCTCACTGACTGGCAGTACAGACTTCTAGTGTATCAGCCATTCTTCTCAGCTTTGTGTCATCAGCAAACTTGCTGAGGGTGGACACTATCCCCTCATCAAGATCACTGATGAAGATGCTGAACAAGACTGAACTCAGAACTGACCCCTGGGGAACACTGCTAAATATAGACCTTCAGCTGGACTCTTTGCCACCCATTGCAACTCTCTGAGCCCAGCCAGTCAGCCAGTTCTTGTTTGGTTGTCATCTTGTGATGTTTCCCAGCTAATGCTCTAGCTTCTTTAAAAAAATTCTTTAAAATAAACAAGATTTTTTTTCCCTGGTTGGCAGGTGATAAATGGGATTATTTAGGAGCGTTCACATGCAAAATTGTTACTGATACTTAAAAATCTCAGAGTCTTCTGACATGTTAACCCCAGTACTGTGGCATGTGCAGTGAACTCTGGCAATATAGTCAGACCATTAGCACATGCTGTCCTGTTTTGTTAGCAGTTACTAGAGTGCTTTCTTGTTTGTTTGTTTTTTAAATAAATTTAGTTATTTTTGTTTTGTGTATATTTTCCTAAGCATGACTTTCAATGTATGTAGTCATTTTAAATAGCTATAGAAATATTGTATTAAAGTATAAAGCTGACTTTTTCTTCTTTAAAGACTGCGGAGTTGTAGTTTTTTTTATTATTATTTCTGATCTGAATTTAATTTTTAAATACAAGATTCTTTTATTAGTATTTCTTCCTGTGAGTACGTCTTTTCCTTAAGAGAAAAAGAACTCTGTTTTAATGTTGCTACTTCTAGTAATTTGAGGCTTGGCCTGAAATGGACCTTGTGAGTATGGCCCCAGAAAGTCTAGGGCTAACCCCAAATGTGAGACAAATGTAAGGAATTTATTGCTGCAACAGGAGATGGTTATCGCTCCTGCTACTTAAACACAATCTCAGCACAACCCCATTTTTAAAAGCCTTCATTTATTAGATGGTGGAGCTACAAAAATGGAAAAATAAGATTGATTACAAAGGATCGTATATAAATACAATGCATGCTACTTTAGTAAAGCTGCTTTCTTTTCGGTTAAAAGGCAAGTGGCAGTTTGTTCCTGCCTAGACATAAGCTGATTTAAAGAAGGCAGGCAGAAGTAACAGAAAGATGTGTAGTGGTTTTTTTTTTTTTTGCCGTAGTGAATATTAATTTCTTCAGAAACTCCATGAGACAGTATGTTAATGAGTACCAAAAAATATACATTTTAGCTGTGCTTTTATTTATCACAAAGTCTTGGCTATCACTGCTGTTTTATGACTATGACATGTGAGGCAATTAATAAATTTTCTAACACAATTAATTAGACAGTAGCTGAGGAAATTACTTAAGCTTTAACTTATTTGAATTGTGATCTTATAGCTGATTTCACAAAGGTCTGCTTTTACTACCTACTTGCAAGCATTTTCCTTCCAGAGCGTTTCACAGAAAAATCATTGGGAACATAATTCACAGTTATCTGTGTCATTAACAATTCTCCTAATTTATTGTTGATGTATAGTGTGCTTATTATGTTTTTGTTTTTATGTCTTAACAGAATTCAATTGTAGCAATTCAGCAGTTCCCTTTAATTGGCCAGTTACTAGGAAGGCTTTGTTGGAATCCTTTTGTTATAGGATATGGTAAGAATCTGTAATGATATTTCTGTAACATAAATTTTGTTCCTTAGGAAACAGAAGAAACACAGCATGATGTATATACTTTGAGTTTGCCGTTTAAATAGAGCTTTTTATTTATTTTTTTTTTCCATTTAAATAAAATTTTGAAATAAAAATGTTACCTAAGTTACTTAAAATACATAATAATCTTAAATTAACTTTTGGAGATAATTAATTTCATGGATTATTTACAGAGTTTTAATTTGGGAACAGTCAGTTTTAAATCCAGTGAGGTGTGTATGCGCGTCGTTATTTTTGTTGTGTTTCCAATTTTCTTGTATTTATATTTTTGCTGGTCTCTCAGAATGTATACAATCTAATGTTTCAGATTGTTTTCAGCTAAGGTTTCTTCTAGTTATGTATCCGAATATTATATTAGATAGGTTAACAGAGGAAAAAACACTTTTTGTGATACCTGATTTTTTAATTAATGAGAAATTGTACTACATCATTATTGTTGGTTTTCATAGATTTGATTCTTTGTGTTTTCTCTATCTTTTAAACTTGCAAAAATACACAGATTAAAAATCAAAAAAGTAAGATGATGACATAGAAAGAAAAAGTATGAAAAATCAAAAGCCTTTTACTGTTAATATGTGTTCAGGTGAGGTGAAAGGAAGGGAGGGAAATGAACAAGAAAACTGGTAAAAAGGAGCAAACTCTATGTGTGCTACCTCATACATAGTTGTATTCTTAACATGAACTGAGATTTTGATAAATGGTTTATGATCTACTATTAATCAGACTAGTGATTCTGAACTTGTCAACCCTTGGAAATAATCTTTTGTTGATCCTCTGCTACAGCTACAACTGCCAAAAAATAGTAGCATATTTTCTCTCCTGATACATGCTTCCTTTTTGAGAAATATCGGAAAGAATAATTTTTTGTAATCTCTTAAAAGAGTTTATTAGGTCAAGCAGAGTGCTGAGCTTAAAATGATCATATCTCTTCTGGTTCAGATTTATCCTCTTCCAGTCAACTTCAAGCACAGGTAGAATGTGCAAAGCACGTGATAGGTATGCGTTATGTTAGCACTTTCCATCTGAAAGTGAGATTTGGAAGGAACATTTAATAAATCTATGTGTTATAGATTGGGTAAGTCACTGTTGCAGAGGAATAAATGTATAATTTTGTGTCACTTTTTGGGAAGGGCTGCCTTTTACTTTATGGGCTAATTTTTTAATTATTTTTTTTTCTTTTTGATGAAGAAGTTTCTATTTTAATTGTAGCTGCAGTTTTTGAGAATGATAACTGTTGATGTTTACAGTTAAAGGCATGCTTTTCTTACTAGTTTTCGCTGGGAGTAACTAAGTCTCCTGTCTGCCATTGTCTCTGAGCTGACATTATATTACGTTACAGAAAGAAGCATAATCTAGATTTTTTTTCATCAAAGTTGAAAAGCATCTGTTTCTGCTTTGTGCATTTTGACAACAGCCCCAGCTATACATACCTACTTTCCTCTACTTCAGCATCCTTAGGCATTTTTTGAAGCAGAAAATGCATTTTATTTCTAAGTTGATTGTTATCTCTGAAGATTGTGAGAGATTGGAATTTTACTTCAAGTTGTTGGGCTTGTGGGTTTTTTTGTTTGTTTGTTTGTTTTCTTTGGGAGTCAAGGTTGCAAGCTATCCAATTGAGAAGACTTTACTTGCTCCAAATAGAATCCTTTACTTCATTGTTTAGAGGTGAGAGGCAGAGATTTCCTGTCATCAGTAGACTTGAAGCGGTTTGCTTATCCATTTTCACCACTATACAGCTGTAGATCTTTAGAGATTGCTTTGAGATCTCAGATTTTTTGTCTGGCATTAGTTCTGAAGGTATTCTTTAAGATAATGCTGGCTATAGCACATGCTGACTTTCAAGAGGGTTTAAAGTAATTTCTCATTTGAATGAATAGTTCATTCAAACATGTGTCTAAGACCAAGCCATCCCTGCAAGCAGAAGGAAATAATTTTGTTCAATTCAGTCTTTTGTACTAGTAAGCGGAAGAGAAAAAACTTGTACGTCTTCATTTTGTCCAAACCAGAATACCTGTCACGTTTAGATAGTTATGTCTGTTGGTGCTGCATGCTGACATGGTTGACTATGCAGCAGGAAGTATGGTCTTCAAGGGAAATTAACCTCCTCATGAACAGTCTTGAGCAGGAGGTGACCAAGTTACCCGTATTTAGAACACTAACATGGGGGAAGCATGACCAAAGAAAAACTGATGTCTACTTGTGGTCCTGAACCACAAGAGGTACATGAGTTCAGTCTGAGAAAGGAATTCCAGTGTTTTTTTTTCCTGTGGGCTAAGGGATTATGTCCTCAGTTGGCTCCTCATGGTTTAAGTTTTAAGTCCAAAAGTCTTGAAACCCAAACTAGTACTAAAAATGCTGGGGAATTTCTTGGTGGCTCTCTATGTCAACGTGTATGTGTGAGCATGCATACATTTATTTGCACAGAAATTTCACTTTTAGCTGATTGCTATATAGTTTAATCAACATTTTCTTACATAAGAATATATATGTATAATATATAATATATAATATATAATATATAATATATAATATATATAGTATATATAAAAATACGTATGTGCATTTTTCAGTAACATTTTAACACAAGCCTTAAAAAGAATATTTCTAGTTCTAAGCCAAGAAATAATTTTGTCTGGGGAAATTGTTAAATTGTTAAGTCCCTTATTGTCTGGGAACTGTTGGTAGGGTTATGATCCTAACATAAGTTGGTTTCAAATCATGGAATCATAGAATGGTTTGGGTTGGAAGGGATCTTTAAGATCCCTAGTTCCAACTCTGCTCCTGTAAGCAAGGACACCTTCCACTAGATCAGGTTGCTCAAAGCCCCATCCAGCCTGGCTTTTAACATCTCTAAGGAGGAGGCATTTACAACCTCGGTAGGCAACTTGTTCCAGTGCCTAGCTACTCTCACAGTAAAGAATTTCTTCCTAATATCTAGTCTAAATCTGCTCTCTTCCAGCTTAAAGCCATTTCCCCTCATCCTGTTGTACCTGTCCATAGAAAAGGTCCCTCCCAGCTTTCCTCTAGGCCCCCTTCAGGTACTAGCAGGTTACAGTAAAGTCCCTCTGAAGCCTTCTGTCCTCCAACGCTGAAGAGCCCCAGCTCTGTCTGCTTGTCCATGTAGGGGAGGAGCTCCACCCCTCTTATAATCTTCGTGGCTGTCCTTTGGAAGTGCTCCAACTGCTTAATGCCCTTTGTGTGTTGGGGGCTTCAGTACTGAACGGGACTCTACTCCAGGTGGGTCTCATGAGTGCAAAATAGAGGAGTGAAATCACCTCCCTTGACCTGCTGCCACACTTCTCTTGATGCAGCCCAGGATACGGTTGGCCTTCTGGGCTGCAAGTGCACATTGCCAGCTCATGTTGAATCTTTCATCAACTCCCAAATCTCTCTTCAAGTACAGGCTGAAGTTTTAATCTTAATCCATATAATCTTATTATGCTGAGAAAGTGCACTTTGTTCATCTCAGCCTTACATTCATCAGTCTGACTTTCATCATAGTGATTAGCATTTCTGACAGGCAGTGTTTTTTAATTTTACAGTATGTAGCAAATGGTCTTCTGTCTAGAAGTCTAATTCAGGAATTACACTTCCCCTCCTCTTTTTTTTTCTTCCCCTTTCGATCAATGCAAAACTATAACTTAATTTAAAATGATCGTATAGTGTATCACAGATGTACAGTATAATAAGGCAAAAAAAGAGATATTTGAACTTTTACATGCCTTATTCAGAATTGATGGCTTGGTTTCAGTTTTTTTTTTTCTGGGCTTTACTACTTACTGTTAATAAGAAGTGTCTGTAATGTTCAAAATGATAGCAAGTGGCTATAATTTAGTTGTTAAACAAAGAAAATGGTATATTTTTTTTCCTTCCAAATCACTACATGTCACATCTGAACATTTCTCTTGAAATGTTGTTGTTTTTTTTGTTTTGTTCTTTTTTAGAAGGCGATTAAGCTGCCTGTTAGTGTCTGAATGCTGGTTGGATACAGTTACAAATTACACAGATATTTTAAATTTCTGGTGAGGAGTTCATAGGTTGCCTATTCTTACTCTGATCTTACGCAACCTAGAAAATCATTAACCTTGTAAAAACCCGTATTAAAAAAAAAAAAATCCTTAAGGATGCAATGTCAGAAAACCTCAAACTGTAGCCAGTTAAATGTATATGAGAAACCATTTCAGAGCAGGAAATGCTAGTCAATAGGAGGCCAGTGATGGCCTATGGGCTTGCTGGATGTTTATTCAGAATTGCTGGTTTAAAAAGTATAAACACTTCTGATCACCTGGTGAAAATACAGGCATTACTTAATTGAACTTAATATTCTTTATTACATCCTGGGTAGCAAATGCACAGAAAGCAAAGCATTTATTAAGCATGATAACGTTCAAATTGTCTCCTAATGTAATTTCTGCAACTGAGTAGTAACAATTTCTGCAACAAGGTAGTAACAATTCTAGTATGATTGATCATTGTTTATCATTAATGATGTTATTTAGATACTTGATTGAATGATTTCTTGATGATAACTTGAGGTATTTTTATGTAGATGCTGTTGAAGGAAATGGTTATACAAGAACTACAGATGAATAATATTGTGTTGTGGAAATCTAGCAAAATAGAAGCATTGTGAGTTGTGACTGACCTATTTAGGATTATATTTTTGTGGATAGGTAGGAATTTGGTGTAATCGACTGGATGTTTTTTTTGTTTTGTTCTGTTTTTCTTGTTTTTTTGCTCTAACCATAGACTTGTTTGCTCTTTTTTTTTTTTTTTTTTTTCCATTAGGTGAAAGCCAGAAGACTCTGATGTGGTGCTTATGTTGTCTGTACAGCAGTGAACCACAGAGCCCTGTAGAATTGAAGGCCAACAGCTGGATACGAGTAAGTGAATGATTTCTTCTAAGGGCTGCTTTGAACTAAATCTATTATTTAAAGGTGCTGTGTGTACAGTGTTGACAAACATTGGCCATGTGTGATTCAAATATCAATTTACATATTACAGAGAGAAAAATTTGTCACAGTATTTGTTATAAACATCAGCAAATGCGTATGATGTGGTAAAGAAGAGCTATGCCACAATGATGTTCTACTGAATGCTTTAACTTTTGGGGAAGTTATAAAGGGGTCTGTCTGTTTTAACCTATATCAGTTGTTTGATCTGATTGATGTAACTGAACTAGTGATTTTTGATGATATGAAAAGGAGTTCAAGTATAAAAGAACAGAGAGTTGGAGATAAGTGTAAGAGGAACTGCTGCTGTTGGCAGCACTACCACTTCAGGCTGTTCTGGACTGGGACTAATATAAATATTTGATACAAGACACTGTGCTTCTTAGTTTTTCTACTCACTCTTGTGTGTTTGAATCAATCTAAAATATGGTGGGTTAGAGGGTCAAGAAGTAATGTAAAAGGAGTAGGGAAGAAATAGGGAGCTCAAAACACCAACATTTCCGAACTATTTTTGTTGTTTGGCACATCCTTAATTCGTTAAAGAGCATATAACGTGATGCAATTTGAAATTGTTTCTTTTTCCACATTATTTATCATAAAAATTATCATATAAATTTGTCAAGATGCTTGTGTTAGGACAGCTATAACTTCAGGTTTTCACTGACTGTTTTCTGTGTGACCAGTGACTATCCTGTGCAGTGCCTTGGTCTGACCACAGCCTTATTCATAATACAGTGTAAGCTTTATGTGACAGTGATACTACTGTCTTGTGAAGAAGATGCCAAGTGCTCATGGCCCCAAATCTTAAAATGTGTCGTAGAATGTCTTGAGTTGGAAACTTCCCACATTATCAAGTCCAGCTTCTGTCTTAGCACAGAACCACTTATAAATGAAGGCATTGTCCAAATTCTCCCTGGTCTCTGATTGCTCAGGTCTCTGCCTATTTCGCTGGTGACCCTGCTCCATGCCCACCACCTTCTGGTGAAGCACCTGCTTAGGCTCCATCTACTGCTCCCCTCACACAGCTCCATGCCATTCCCTCAGGCCCTGTCGCTGTCACAGATGGCAAGGTCAGTGCTGCCCCTCCACTCCCTATGATGAGCTGCAGCCATCATCAGGCCTCCCCTCAGCCTGCCCAGCTCTGGGCTGAACAGAGCTCAGCCATTCCTCACACACCTAGCCCTCAGACTCTTCACCATCTTCACAGTCCTGCTTTGGGAGCTCTCTAACAGTTTTATGTCCCTCTTCTGTTGTGGCACCCAGTGCTGCAGCCAGTGCTGGAGGTGAGTCTGCACAGTGCAGAGCAGACAACGCCTCCTTCGCCTACTGGCAGTGCTGGGCCTGGTGCACCCCAAGGTCTGGTTGACCCTTTTGGCTGTCACAGATTGCTGACTCAGATTCAGCTTGCCATCAACAGAGCTTTGAAAACCATTTTCATGGGGCAGCCTTTGAGACAATCATCCTCCAGTCTGTACATATATAAAATGTTGATCTGTCCCACACACGTTATCACATAATCACAGAATGGCCAGGGTTGGAAGGGACCTCAAGGATCATGAATCTCCAACCCCCTTGCCATAGGCAAGGCCACCAACCTCCCCATTTAATACTAGACCAGGCTGCCCAGGGACCCATTCAGTCTAGCCTTGAACACCTCCAGGGACTGAGCACCCACAGCCTCTCTGCGCAGCCCATTCCAGCACCTCACCGCTCTCCCTGTAAAGAATTTCCCCCTGACATCCAACCTAAATCTTCCCTCACTCAACTTAAAACCATTTCCCCTTGTCCTGCTGTTATCTTCCCTTTCAAAGAGTTGATTCCCCTCCTGTTTGTAGGATCCCTTTAGGTGTTGAAATGCTGCAATGAGGTCACCTCGCAGCCTTCTCCTCTCTAGGCTGAACAAGCCCAGCTCCCTCAGCCTGTCCTCATATGGGAGATGCTCCAGTCCCCTGATCATCTTTGTGGCTCTCCTCTGGACGCTCTCCAGCAGCTCTCTCTCTTTCTTGTACTGGGGGTCTCCAGACCTGGACACAGTACTCAAGATGGGGCCTCACAAGAGCCGAGTCGAGAGGGACAATCACCTCCCTGTTCCTTCTGGCCACCCCTCTTTTGATGGAGCCCAGGATACCATTTGCTTTTTGCGCTGCAAGAGCACACTGTTGGCTCATGTTAAGTTTTTCATCTATCAAGACCCCCAGGTCCTTCTCTGCAGGGTTGCTCTCAAGGACCACTCCTTCCAGTCTGTATGGATGCCTGGGGTTTGTCTGGCCCAAGTGCAAAACTTTGCACTTTGCCGTGTTGAGCCTCATCAGGTTCACCCAGGCTCATCTTTCCAATCTGTTGAGATCCCTCTGAATGCCATCCCTTCCTTCTGCTGTGTCAACTGCACCACTCAGCTTGGTGTCGTCAGCAAACTTGCTGAGGGTGCACTCGATTCCGTCATCGATGTCATTGATAAAGATGTTAAAGAGCACCGGTCCCAAGACAGATGCTTGGGGGATGCCACTTGTTACCAGCCTCCCCCTGGACACAGAGCCATTGATGACCACCCTCTGTCTGTGGCCTTTCAACCAATTTCTTATCCATTGAGTGACCCACCCATCAAATCCACATCTCTCCAATTTGGAGATAAGGAAGGAGTTGGGGTCTATGTCAGAGGCCTTGCTCAAGTCCAGGTAAGTGACATTGGTCGACTTCCCCTTGTCCACCAATGCCATCACTCCATCGTAGAAGGCCACCAGATTGGTCAAGCATGACCTTCCTCTGGTGAAGCCGTGCTGGCTGTCTCGGATCACATGCTCATTCTTTACGTGATCGAGCATGTTGTCCAGGAGGATCTGTTCCATGATCTTCCCAGGCACAAAGGTGAGACTCACCAGCCTGTAGCTCCCACGGTCCTCCTTGCTCCCTTTCTTGTAAATGGGAGTGACATGATCCTTCCTCCAGTTATCCAAGACCTCACCTGACAGCCACAACTTTTCAAATATGATGGAGAGCGGCTCAGTAACCACCTCAGCCAGCTCCTTCAGAACCCTGGGAGGACGCCATCCGGCCCCATGGACTTGTACACATTCAGTCTCATGAGGTGGTCTCGCACCTGCTCTGTCCTCGCAGTGGGGGGGATTTACCACTCTGGTTTCCACCTAGAGGTTTAGGGATGCAGGTCTCAGGGACATGAGAAGTACTGGAATCCTGGCCGCCAGTGAAGACTGAGGCAAAGAACTCATTCTGCACCTCAGTTCTTGTGGTTGCTGTTTTCCTAGCCCTCTAACTTGTCTGGATCTCTCTGCAAGGCTTAGAGCTCCTCCTTCTTTAGTGTTGTCCACACACTTACCCAGTACAGCTTCAAGCAATGTATCCAAGGAATTGATGAAACTGTGAAGAAGAGTGTGTCCTAAAATGGAGCTCTCGGGAACCAACTAGGCACCAGACACTGTCCTGAGTTCACTAGAATCCTTTGAGCCTAACCTGTCAGTTAATTGCTCGCCTGCTGCATTATTTTTTTTTTCTAGCTGCACACTTTGTCCAGAAGGATTTGTGAGAAACGGTATATGCAGTTGAAATAAACCTTGGAGCTGAGAAGAAAGATTTTATGGCCAAGATAAACACTGCCACAGGTTTGCTACTGAAGAAATCACTTGTAATCTGGTGAAATGTAAGGGTGACAGAGGACTGGAACAGGCTACCCGAGAGGCTGTGGGGTCTCCTTCTCTGGAGACATTCAGGACCTGCCTGGATGCATTCTTGTGTGACTCTGGCAGGGGACTGGATTAGATGATCTTTTGAGGTCCCTTCCAATCCCTGCTATTCTGTGAAATCCATTTATCAGAAAGTTATTTAGTTTCTCCATCTACCTTTCTTTGAGCAGAGGTTTTTGGAGCTGTGCAATATGGATGTTTCTAACACTGGCTTATGTCTTATAATAGAACAGTTTTATTTCAATTAGCCCTTGCAGTGATATTGCATCAACGAGAGGGTGTTTCTGAAGTAATTTTCCACTTTGTTAATTTGATTAAATCTCCTTCTGTCCTCTAAATTCAGAAAATATTTAGGGATAGTTTACTGCTTTGAAACTTCTGTAGTTTATTATGCTATCCCTGCTTTTGTTGTAGTGCTTTGGAAGACACAATTTTGTGAGGGCGTTGCAGCCCCTCTTTTTTCAGATTTGCTAAACAGAAAATGTTGATATCTCTCCCTTTGGTATCATTTATTTAGTTAGTTATTAATATTTTACCTCAAAGGAAAACCAAAGAAGTGGAAGGTCTGTCAGCATTGCCACAGATTTTTAATGGTATTTTTTTGGGCCTGGCCAAATTTTACTTTTGGGGAACATATAGTACTTTTGGGTATCTGCTGTGTGAAGTCGCATTTTAATTCATGACCACAAAAGTAGTAGGTGTCTTTTGTGAGAGTAATTTTTAATGGTACTGGAATTATAAAATTATTTCTGTTATTTTTTTAATGAAAATGTTTAATGAAACTTGTATGGTTTATTTTTGGTAAGAGTTTGTATGTATTTATCTTTTATCAATGTTATTATGGGTCGTCTCCAAATAATAGATAGTAAATTAATGTAAATGCCAAGTCTGTGTAAAAGTTTGGATCCAGAAAGCTTTCGTTTTATTACATTAGGGAGCTTCAAGTTTTTCAGTAGAACTGTGTAACACGAATGTTGTTTTGAAAATGGTAAAACTGATTTTAAAAACAACAACACTCTGAATCTCAGACTCATCTATTTTTCATTCATTGGTGTTTCTGCTGTAAGATCGAAGTATTGAATTGTGGTTTGCAGTCCTTGTCTCTCCCTGATGTCATTGAGTTTAACTTCATTTTTTTGCTGAGCTAAACAGTTTTAATGGAAAGGTGGTAGACCACTTATTTCCAAAGATATGCAGTAGGGAGCAGAAACTGCTTTATTCTTTTCTTTGGAC